TGACTATTCCTTGTTCTCCTAATTATATTTAGGTAAGTCATGTTTCTTTCTTACTTCCTGAGCATAGATTTAGCACATGGCCTCTTTATATGTGCCATGGAAGTGAGGATTTTGTCTAGGGAAATGAAATACATTGATCTGGCATCTTCAAAAAGGCAGAATAGTTTTGACTTTTTGCTTTTTGCTAAAATGAATGATTTAAGGGACAAATAAAAGTTTCTTCTACCCTCTGAAATACCTTCTTATTGCCCTCCAGTGCTGACTATTTTCCAAATTTCTTTCTTGGAAGACAAATTCTGCTATTCCACCATTACAAAATAAAAGGTATAAAATATTATATGTGTATAAATGATATTTTGTTGTACATTACGTAATTATGTTAGTGAGATCTCTACCTTTTTGTTGTTCAAGTTTTAAAGTTTGCTTTTCTTTTACAAAAAACAAACCAGCTAAGGCAACTGGGGACATTTATTATGTAATTATATCTCACAGCATCCAAAGACAAAAATGCAGGTGGATCTCAGGAATCAACTGAAATGCAGAACTCTAAGACCATAAGAAAACTTGTGTTATTGTCTATTCCATATTTATTTGTTGTTAGGGAATATAATAGTTAAGTTTATGTATGAACCTTATGTCCTGCAACCTTGCTAGTTTTTCTTATTGATTCTAGTAGGATTTTTTGCTTGTTTTACAGATTTTCTAATGTATGCACTACATGTCATTTGTGAATTAAGAGATTTTACTACTTTCCAATATTTATGAGTTTTATTTCTTTTTCTTTCCTTATTGCACTGGCTTAGTCTGACAGTACAATGTTGAAGTGGTGAGAACAGATATCCATGCCTTGTTCCCCATCTTAGAGGGAACATATTTAATATGTCACCAGGTTATACGAAGTTAACTACAGATTTTTCATAGATGTGCTGTAGCCAAATGAGCAAGCTCCTTTCTGTTCTTCCTTACTGATGTAGTTTATCATTAGTGAGTATAGAAATTGTGAAATGTGCTTTCTTTATCTATTGATTGGTCCTATGATTACTCTCCTTTCTTTAGTTAGTGTAAAATATGTTTAGTATATCTTGCATTCCTGAGATAAAGGTAAATTAGTAATGGTGTATTATCCTTTGCTATCTATTAATGTATTATATTTCTTAAAATATTTCCAAAAAATGTATTTTTCTGTATGTTTAGAAGGGATATTTGTTCTATCATTTTGTTGTTTTGTAATGTCTGTATCAATTTTTAATTTTAGGATTATGTTGGTATAATAAATAAATTGGGAAGTATTCCTCCTTCCTCCATTTTTCTGAAAGAATTTGAAAAAAATGTGTC